CCACCCACACCCACACCCACACCCACACCCACACACCCACACCCACACCCACACCCACACCCCACACCCACACCCTTTTATGAGAACTACACGTTCAAATATGACACGAAAGAAATGAGTATCAAAGTTCGACATAGGTCAAGTCACGAATAACTGACCTTTATCGAATTCTGATTCGTATAATTATAAAAGCTATAGATCGTCATTACATGCTGTGTTGCTTTTTTTATCGATATACTTTACCTGTTTTCATGCTGTTGAATTCAGAACTAATCGTTAGACAATTGTAAATAGTATACAAGTAAAGATTCTATATTGTCAGAACTAACGAAACTATGTCCGAACACTACTTTTATACGTGTTGATAGAAAGAATAATGAAAAATACTTTCATATGATCTGGTGTTATGATTCAGTTATAGTGCAAATTGGAAAAAGGTCGTATTAAAAATGAACAAAGAAAAAATTTTCTGTTAACATAAAAACTGAGAATGAAGAATAGATTGGCATTATTAAAAAAAGCAAATACATTATGCATTAATTTCATACTTTCAAAGGCATTCTTTTTAGGTAAAACCTATGAGAATTTAAACAAATATGAATAGTCACGTAGAACATTTTATAGAATATTCATGTTGACAATGATACATTCAAAATAATTTATTCGAATTGCTACAACACAAACAATAATTATTGTAAAATAAATTTCATTCGAAACATCTCCTTTTTTTCTCTCATTGTTATTATCATTATTATTTTAGTTTAAAACTACTTGTATTCTATTTAAAATCGCACAATTCGAATATTTTTAATAAAGATTCAAATTGAATATTCCTTTCTCTTATATGTTGTAGTTAACAAACAAACTTTTTTGTCAAACAAAAAAATCGTTTATTTTCAATACAAAAAAGTCTTTTTTTTCAAACAAAAATCTTTTCCACAAAAAAAAATTGTTTTTTTTTCAAACTGACAAATCTTTTTCTTAAACAAGAGTCTTTTTCTAAGCAAAAAATGTTTTTTCGAACAAAAGGTTTGTTTTTATCAATACGACAAGACTCCATGACGTACGACATGTTCATCTAGAAAGAAACAAATAAAAAAAATGATTGAGAGAAAGAAAATCTTACGTTCCAGTTTACGTAATTCTTCTTCAATAAGAGCCAATCTCATTGCCAATGTAGTAACCTGGTTAAAATGAATCATCCATTGTGGCTTATTGTCGACAGCTGAACAGTTATATAATACTTCACGAGCGTCATCTAGTTGTCTTCTGATGTCGGATTCTTGATTTTTTACTTGTAGAAGCTAAAAACAAAAAAAAATAATTATTAGATTTCTCTTAGTCGAGTATAGAAAATAAAAAAACTACGAATTATTCTAACGAGCAAAGGTGCTTGAAAACAACTGCCTGACAACATTTTCAAAACAGCAGATAACAAACCTGCTCGATGAGTAAATCAATAGCCATTGTTAATGCTTTTAAATTAAACTCTGACATTTCATCTCTCATCTTTCTTTTTATAGGTTCAATTCTATCTTTGTTTTGTATGTTCAGTTAATTCTTTTGTTTATGAACGTCCAATAAAAAACAATAGTGCTCATTCTCGACGAGAGAAAAAAAACATATCAACTTACGATATGCCGACGAATATGACCTCCTTTTTGTGAAAAATCGGCAATAGACACATACTGATGAGGAAACAAAGACATTTCTAAAGAGTATTCACAATAATTAAACATAAATAACATCAATTTAAATACTTAGAATTATATCGATAATTATACTACCAACAATGAAATTCGATAAAAGCACGAGAAACAATCACGTAGAATCACTAACTATGAATGTACCACTTTAAACGAAATGACTTTTATGCATAGAGGAAAACTAATATATACCAGTTGTTATTTTATTTTCTCTTCATATGCACGTGGCTTTGGCTATGTAATTCTTTGTAGCCTATTTAAAATAAAGTTTAAATCAATAAACAATATCGAAGCAAAGAAATATATAAGGAATGTTACTTTTCTATTTATGAAGCTGTTTATAATCTTTTTTTGAATGAAAGGAATGATTTTTATAGGAGAAGGATGAAAATTTTAGCAAAATGGGTCGGAGAATACGCAGTCTTCGTTACTACAGTTCTGTATAATACTACTTTTGGTAGACTTAACTATTTGTTTAAAATTTCATCTAATTAGAACGAAATTCATTGTGAAAACTAAGTTACCAATCCCCTTTTTGTTCCGAATTGTAAGTCAATTCATACACTACATTAAGAAAATGTAACATGGATTTATTTCATATTGAAAAATAAAGCAATTTTGTTGAAGAATAGACCATCAAATGAATTTAATCATAAATCAACTATTGATTTATTTGTTAAGTAATACAATGTTTTTTATTTAATTATCTTATTTGTTTTATTTTATATGGTCTTTTCTTCATAGCTATATGGACAAATATATGTCTAACTGTATGAATAAACATATGTACGAAAAAATGTAATCTCCAAATTTTAAACCTATAACTTAATGTATAATATTATTTTTAATCGTTTAACTTTAGTATGAACAGTTGAATTTTCGGCTGTAATAAAGCCATCATCAGAACGTGATGTTGATCATAAAGTACAAAATTTAATTTTTTATTTTAATTTTTTTTATCATTTGTTGATGTTATTTTTTATTGAGGGTTCTCAAAATTTAAACAAAATTTATAGGTTTAAAATTTGAACATTACATTTTTTCGTACGTATGTCTATTCATACGGCTAGACATATAATTGCCCATATAGCTACGTAAGCAATGCCTGTTGTTATTCTGAAAAACCATTTCTCTTTGATGTTGTAAGGGTAAACCATTTCTGCTTGAAATAGAACAGCTTTCCATTTTTCGAGGATATTGGCCAGTTCTCATCATTTTTAGATTACTTTTTCCGATCACTACTATCTATTTGAATATTGCTTCCTATTTTCGTATGCGAGTGTAGACTGGTCGTTTCCCTAACAAACCATATGTCTTTTTGTATACTCAAAAAGTGAGTACACTCTAGAATCGGTCAGTGTGTCCGGCCAGCCGTTTACACGATAACTCTTCAAAAACTCATCCGACTGCGATGAAATGTTGTACACAGTTTAGTCTTAGCAATGTCTCGGTCGAATTCGAAGATGAGAATGATTGGCCGAGCCATTGCTGAGTTATTACAAAAATACTCATTTTTTCTTATGCTTCTCTATGAGAAGATCGATCCTTCTCTGTTTTCGTAAAAAACTTTTCCTATCATAGCCAAATAAAACCCCAACTATTCTAAACCATTCGATAGAGAATTTCATGAGCTACAAAATGGTATATAAAACATAAGGAAACAAGAAAGTTAACTCACTTATTGCAAAGATAATTAAACGGAATTCGGTTCTGTGTTTGTCCACGCGCTAATTGATCCATAAATAGAGATCTATCTTTCGATCACAGAGATGATAGTTCGAGGTTTTCTGGGGTGGAGAACTCGGATCCGTACTCCACTTCCATCTAAATACTATTGGTTGAGCAGTGACCAATAGAAATCAAGTTATAGGAAAAACGACTTTCGTTAGGGTAGATCAAGGTGAAGAGTTCAAATCTGGGTTGTAGTCACGCCCAAATCCTATTGGTTGAGCAGTAGCCAATAGAAATAAGGTGTTTATAGATAAGGTTTGCCAGGATAATTTTATATCCCCACATTCTAGAACGACTCATCTGTCTCATTCACTTTTTGAAGTACACATAACTCTCGGATTTAAATCCGAGGTTTCCACATTTATTTGTTCATTATAGACAGATATTTTACGAAGTGAACAAATTCTTCATCAAAATATTATTAATAATTTACCATTAAGACAAGCTTGTAAAGAAATAATTTTATTTATTGATGCAATTAAACGTTTATTGGATGATGATCATGATACACCTATTAATAATAGAGAGAAACTTTACAAAAATTACTTAAACGATATCGAGTAAATTAATCTTGTCTTATTCATTTTTGTTTTCGTAAGTAAACAGTTACATAATTGAATGAAGCATAAATCGAGCGTGATAAAAGTTTCGTGACTTTGTTTTGCATATACCTTCGCGTATGTGTGTTATGTTAAGATATCTTCGTCTAAAGAAAAAAAATCTATGTTCACCTTCTAGCTCTTTTACCTGATAGCAGGATTTTTGGCGACTACTGTCGTACTCAATTAGATTGTATTAAGTTGTTGATATTTGAGCAGGAATCAGTGATTATTTCTCTTTGATGGTTTGTTACCAAATCTCAATTCATATCTTTTTTTTTTGCAACGTCAACTTAAGTATATGCTGTAAATGTATGATGTAGCTATCTGTGCAACAAACTCACTGTATATATTTGAGTTACATTGCTAGAAAATCTCTTTCTTTTCGATGTTGTCTTATAACTTGACAAAACTTCTTATATTTACACTTAGAATAGATGAAAACTTTCTGTTTTTCAAGACTCACTCTACTACCGCTTTATTACAAATATTTCGTCCAACAATGAATGAACTATAACTCGAACAGTTTCCTTGATGGAAAGCGAGCGGTCAGAAAAATTTAGTTCTGTTTTGGAATCGACATTTTAGTAACACAAATAAATAATATATATTATCAATAATATATATTATCAATTTGATTTGGTGATAAACGTGTGTACCTTTGAGTAAATGTCAACACAGATGAACTAAATAATCTTTCGCCGAATCCAGTAGTCGCTGGCATAGCATGTACTCTCCTATCTACTATTGATAATAATGAGATATTACGACGAATTTCATTACTAGACCAGAACTTCATTGAATCACGATCAATGAGGTAATTTAGATGTCGTATTTTGCATATGCAGAACACGTGTCCTGTGCGTTCTCTGATAGTAATAGACTACCGTGGTTGAGTGGCTATGTTGTTCAACAGACATTCAGCAGGTACTGCATTCAAACCTTAATATCATCAGACATGGAATGATCCTGAACAAGTCACCAACCACTCTTTGTCTCGTATCACCCGTCCGATAGCATGCTGACTATGTTGTGTGACATATTCCTGCTCTTGTGGTCAATTAGTATGTATGGGCAGCCCAAGCAATTGAGTGCAAGAACTCTGCGTGAAACTAGCTTTCTGTCCAAAGCTACAGCTAGCTTTAGTCGTGAAGAATATATAGGACTACTGAATTTGGCACGATGCAGCATTTCATACTGTAAACTAACCGAATGGCAGGAGTATTCTTCCTTCCTGATAGTAACAAGAGTAACATATTCAAAATTTTCTAATACGAAGAGAATCTCAAATTGCAAGCAAATTCGACAATCATCGTTAAATATAAATTGACGAGATACGATTCGTTTGATTTGACAAAAATTTCATTGATGTCGTTGTTTTTCTATTCTATTCTGTGAATTTCTATTTTGCAAATGTATTATATTTGTTTTATATAGGATATGCGTGTAGACGTACTCAATTGCCAAATGACAATTGATTTTCTCAATGAATCATTACAACAAGAAGGAAATATAGATGTAACAAATATTGATTATATGGAAAAAATCAAACAAATTAATATTGATTGGATAAGAATAAAATCATTAATATCAGCACGTATTGATGTAAGAATAAAAAAATTTTCCTAATAATATTTTAATTCTTCTTTATTAATAGACTTTCGAACAATTAAATGATCAATTTAATGAATTTGATCAAACAGTTCGTACATTATCTGATTGGGTTCAAGAACAAACATCTGATCTTGAATTTATGCGTTCAAGAAATATGGAAGCTGGTGTTAAAGATAATTTACGAAAATGCGATGTAAATTATTTTCTCGTTTTTTTTTGTTGTATTTGAATTGTTTAAATAATTTTTTTTTTGTTTTTGCTTTTCATTTTAATAGGAAATTGAATATCAATTAACAACTAAACAACAAATTCTAACAACATTAAAATCATATAGGAATCGAATATCATCAACATCAACAACATTTCATATATCTTATCAAGATGGTACAATACAAAATTTACGTTATATGATTGATCATTTATCACCATCAATTGAACAATTAAAATTAAAATCAAAATCAATTTTATCTGATTGGCAAGAATATAATCGTGTTTTACTTCAAATAGAAAAAATTATACGTGAACCTGAAGCTGGTATTGATCGTGTTCAAACAAGTGCAATCAATGTTGAAACTTATGAAATGAGTACAAGAAAAATTCAGGTTATAATAATATGGTCGATGGATTTTTTTTGTACCATTATCAAAACTAATGATAAATAGGAGATCATTGATAAATTTCTATAAAAAAAGCCTATTTTATACTATTCTTGATATCAATATATAAGGTAGGTCACTGTTTTTCGAATAACTTTCGATAGGAATATCATAGAGATCTGTGGTTTTTTTACCATTCAAGAGAGAAGACTCGGGCCCATAGAAGTATGTCGAAATTCCATTAGTCAGCAATTGATCAATCAGGTTAGTTCACAGTGGAGATTTTTGAAAACGATATTCAGAAGTTATCACACTTATAATATAATCAATTGACAGGGAAAATTCTTCGCTTTTGATTCACACAAGGCTGACATTCCTAGGATGTTTCGTTCGAGAGTTATAAGGCTTTTTCTGAGGCCTGTGATCACCTGGAAAAGCCACTAGACAGGAATAATTCACAGTGCTGAGTCGAATGGTGATATCTGGTTTTAGGTTCGAATTGATTGGACACTATTATATTTCGGAAATGTCGACTTCTTTGTGACATATGATGGCTGATTGTGAAATTTCAGAAACATTGAAATAACAGTGTCCGATCAATTTGAACCTAAAACAAAATATCACTATTCGACTCAGCACGGTGAATGATCCCTGTCTAGCGACTTCTTCAGATGATCACAGGTCTCAGAAAAAGCCTTATTACAGTCGAACGACACACACTAGGAATGTCGACCTTGCATAGATCAAAAGAGAAGAATTTTTGTTCTATCAATTGATTATACCATAAGTGCGATGACTTCAGAATATCGTTTTCAAAAATCTCGAACAAGAACTCATTTGATTGACCAATTACTGACCAATCAAATATCGATATGCTTCGGTACCCTCGAGTTTTCTCTTTTCAATGGTGAAAACCACAGGTCTCTAGGATGTTTCTATCGAAAGTTATTCAAAAAAACATCAACTTGTCTTGTATTTTGGCGTTAATAATAATTCAGATTTAGTTGATTTGAAAACACATGTTGACTATATTTTAACAAATAGGAAAAAGATCTTAAAATGAAACAAAATGTGCAATGTTTATCTTGGGAAAAATCTGTAAATGTCATGTGGCATCTCTTCTACGTTGTAAGCCTGGTTAAACACTGAATCTCTTTCTACAGAATCTAAAACAAAACTATCTACGAGTCTCTTATTTTATACACTCAAATAAATTAGTAAATCGTTTACAAGCGGTAAAAAGCTCTGAAGGAAATCACTGATTTGAATTTTTATAATGCTGATGTTAACATTGATTTTGCCAACTGATAAACGCAGAAACATTCGATACCAAAATGGTCAGCTGTAATGATTTCTATTCAATAATTAGATGAATATAGACCACATATGATTGTCTCGACGACATGTTTTTTTTTTTAAGAATAACTCATGAATACTACAAAAACAAGTAGAATATCTATCTACATATAGCTATAACAATAAGTATCGAGGAGTACTATGTTATCAGAACATCTATAACAGATAATAAATTTCTTTTTTTCTGTCTTTATGAAAATTTTATATGAAAAGTATCTTTGATTTAACCTATATTGAATATATTTTAGGAGCATTTACAAATCATGGAATTACATCGACATGATCTCGATCAAATTGTTTCTCAAGGTCGTCAATTATCCAGTCAATGTGATGGACAAACTTCATTAAAAATTAATGAAATAACACATCGTATTCAACAACAATGGACAAATGATGAACAACGTTTACAAGAAATCATACGACCATCAAGAGAAATAGTTGATAATTGGAGATAATTTAATAGTTCATATGTTCATTTACTTGATCGACTTGGTGAACTTGAAGCTCGATGGTATACAATTCAAAGAGAAATATTTACATCAGATATAGAATCACTTTTAGACAAAACAAAAATAAGTATATAAGAAATTCTTGCAGATATATCTCAACACAATCGTAACTACTAAAAACCCTGATTATTGTTAATATAATAAGAGTCTCTTAAGAGCAGTTTTTGAAAGTCAAAAAATATTTGTCATATAAATATACATTTTTTTCTTAAAAATTCTTCTATATAACCTAAGTAACTTGAATTGTTTTCTACTTTTTTGACTGGTGTTGTATTTAATTTTTAGGATTTTCAACAACGTCTTCAACAACTTGATAATGAAATAACAAGATTATATGAACGAGCTCAAAAATTAGTCAATCATTTACCTGCTATAGTTGCTAAAAAAATTGATACACAATATTCTGTTATTAAAAATCAATATTTAGAATTATGTACATTTCATGATAAACTTCAAAGTGATTGTAATGAATTAAAACAACGTGAAAAAATCTATTTAGATTATTTAAATGAATTAATACAAATAATTAATCAAATTCAAATTGATTATAAATCTCAACAATTAACTGATGAAAATGAAATAAATAATTTAAAACAACTTCATGAATTTCATACATTACTTTTATCAAAACATGATTTAATTGAACGTTTAAATTCAAATGAATTTATTTGATATTTTAAACGAGCTAAACATTTACATGAAATTATTATTGAATATACACATACAATTGAATTAATTATAAATCGTATAAAACAAATTGAAATAAATCAATATAATTAATTTAATTTTGATAAACGTTCTCAAAAATGGAATGATTATATACAAGCTATTGAACTAAATTTAGCAATTATACAATTATATTTACATACAAATTATCAAGGTTTATTAGAAATTGATATAAATTTAACAAATATAATTAATGATTTTAATCAACGACAACAAGAATTAATACAATTAATTAATGAAGGTAAACAATTAATTGAACAAAATTTAATTATTGATCAACATACATTTACTAAACTTGAACAATGTTGGCAATTAATTATAAAAACAATTTTAAATAAACAACAAGAAATAAAAGATATTATTAAATTATGATTATCATATCAAAATTATTTAGAAAATTATTATCGTTTACTTAAAAATAAATATGAATTTGAACAAGAACAATTACGATCACCAACAATTAATTTAATTAATCAAATTAAACAAGGAACTTATTTAAATTCATTACAAAATGAAGAATTATAAAATTTATTAGAAAAAATTTATGAAATAAATCGACGACTTATAACATATTCTGATATTAAAACAAAAA